CTCTCTTCCTCTCTTCCTCTCTTCCTCTCTTCCTCTCTTCCTCTCTTCCTCTCTTCCTCTCTTCCTCTCTTCCTCTCTTCCTCTCTTCCTCTCCTGTCTCTTCTCTAATTGTATATGCAAAATTACATTTTAATGTACATTTGCGGCACAGATTCTTCTGATGGGCTCTACTGTTCCACTCTGCTCAGCTCAGTGGGAACGGATGTTTAATACCTCCCGTATCCCAGGCGAGGAATCAGGTAAGCAAGGCCAGCCAAGCAGAATAAACATCTTAATGGAATTCAGTTTTGGGAGTATTTTCTGCTAAAATCCTGTTTTTTAAGATGAGGACCTGACAGACACAAGGACATAGCAATACTGTGTTTTGATACTCAGGAAGTAACGAATTGCTTTAGAGTACATGGATGTTTTTCCTTTTAGGGTGATTCTGAAACGTCAGTGTTTTTTCTCTTCCTTTATTTAAATCAAAACCTAACTTTAAGAAACTGTTGTCTGCCCTGTGTTTTAAATTTATAAATAACCTTTAATTTCCCCCATTCTGTTCTTTCAGTCTCCTTTGATAGCCATGTTTTTATCTTTGTGGAAGTTGTGTTCTTTTACCTCAACCATTTTAAAATCTTTTGCTTGCTTGACTTTTCCTTTTTCCCTTTGGCTTATGATTCTCAACAACATCCCAATGTGGTGTTCTCAGTATAAACACATATTTAATACTAGTTGTTTACCCAGCTTAGAGGCAGGTACAGTCTTAGTCCTGTCGAGGTTTTCAGTGCCACTGTTATCTTGACCTTGTGTATGCACTGTAAGACATCAGCTAAGTGAAATCACCTCTAATGACTGTGTCTGAAACTTTCTCTGTAACACATAAAGAAAATATATACCCTGGGTTTTTTTAGTTCCTGCCCTGCCCTAACTCCCAGAAATGATCTGATTATCCTAAGCTCTGAGTAATTAGGTTTTCAGATTTTAATGTTGCATAGAGGGCCATACCTGTTGACTTACAGCAGAGTCATTTTCAGCTGAGTCTGTTCCTGCAACTTCTGCTTGTTGTGGGAGACTGTATCTGTAAGTGACAGTTCATACACACTTTCTCACTGCAGGTATACATATGGTGTCATTCCACACATTCATTAACACTGCCTGTAGACGTAAAAGCATTTCACTTCAGTCAATGGCAAACCTTTGATAAATTGTTTGTTGTTGTATCTCAACATAAAAATACCTGATTTTTTTTTTGATGGTCAATACATCATCCATGATCTTGTGGCTGATTCTTCTCCATACGGAGCTATTATCCTAAAGGTAACGTATTCCTAAAGTTTCATCATGGGTTTCTCCCTAAGGTAGCCTGCAAAGATCTCCGTCAGCTTATCCTAAATTTTCCAGGCTCAAGATGGTTTTTATGTTCTTAATAAGTTGTGGTTTTTTTCAGAGATTTGCCATGGTAAATGGAGGTAGATTGCATCTAGAAATACTAACATCTGTAGTCAACAAGTGGAAGAAAACATTGCTATTCATTTTCTCATTCCTTGAGAAGCAAACTAATCATTTCACATCAGATTTGAGTGGAGATTTCTGCTGTGCTTTCTACTAAAGCTTAAGCTGTATCTACATTTCTCTGATCTGATTATGTGCTGAAGAGCCTCTTAGAAGTGAGTTCACATGTTTATCCAACCCTGCATCACTGTGGCAGCATCAGAATGAAATACAGTATTTGGCAGAGCTATCCTGGCAGTCATAATCAGTGCAGAGGATAACCACTAGGAATTTGGAATGCAATTGATTAATCACCTTCATTGGAAATGTATATATGGGCTGATCACTTGAAAATAAGATCTATTTTTTAACTTTCTTTGAGATCTGTGACTCACTCCTACATTTCAAGCTGTCTTTGAGCATGTTAGTCCCACTTAACTACAGAATAAAGAACATAAAGACGTTCTGAGCAGACACAGGGATGTGCCTGCTCTTCCCTGCTGGAGGCCTAACATTGGCTGTGCTGTATGAACTCGGATGAGGGTGCGAAGCAGCACTGGCTAGTGCGTAAAGCAGTGGGTATATGAGTCAGATAAGGATTTTACTCCTAGTTCTGCTGCTGGCCTTTGGTAGATTATTGAGGAATTGTTTCCCAGCTATGCCTCAGCTTCCTTTATCTACGAAATGGAGAAAAACATACCCCTGATGTGATTACTCCCTGATCATGAACTAGTAGCTTCAGTGGACCTGCAAGTTTTAAAATATCTATTAGACAACTGTAGTATATGAGCTGTTATTACTTAGAATACTTCAAGTACTGAAAGTGCTAGCTTTGTCCCTTCCCTGTACTCAGTAAAATAAAAGCTATGAACTGCTTGTGTTTAGCTTTGGATCTGGTGTTCTCTTAGTCTGAAAAGTTTTCCACAAATGCATAGAAGTGGCCCATTCTAACTGTAACATCTGATTGAAGTACATCCTGTATATCTTCATGGTTCTCAGTTTCTCTTGCCTGAAGTCTTTTAAGTCAAAGTAGTCAGCATCATAAAATTAGCTTATTTTCCTCTGAAGCACTACATCGTTCCTGTTTTACTTTTTCAGTTTTCCATTGTTTCTATTTTTCTAAAGGAAAAACACCTTTTGTCATTCTGTGTGTGGATAAGTGAGTTATAAAGACATTTTTCTCAGATTCTCACAAGTAGCTTGATTTCTTGCCCCCTGATTTCAATTATCTGAAGTATTTTATGTATGTTAGTTTCTAAATGAGCAGTATATTTAAAAAAAAAAAAAATCTGTGGCATGTCTTCATGCTAATTGATGGTAAAATCTTAATGAACGTTGTATCCTGTCACTTGAGCAGTTGTTTAATCTTCATGTGTTTTAAAGAAAACATGCTATGGAGTGAACCACTTCTTTTAAGCAAGGAGGAGCTTTTGTGTCTTTCCATTCCTGTTTTTTAATAGGAAACCCATGCAGCATGTTACATTCATCTTTAGATGTATGTAAATGACTTCTTGGACTGGCAAGAAAAAGGAAAGGATTTTTTTTTTTTCTATATTACAGCAAATCTATATTCCAGGTGCATAAATCTGTATTTAGGCATGTAATTACAGTGTCTGAAAAGTGATTGCGAGCAACAACTGTTGCGAAGTCAGTTGTTGATCTAGATGACTAATGATCTTTTGCTGTTTATGCTCAATAATTTTGTCTTTTTTGTATGAATACTTCATGTATGTGATACAAATACTTGGGGTATCCTGACTCAGGTCGGGATTGTAGAAGGTTACCTCATTAGCCGATTTGCTTTGCTGCTGGTTTTCCCCCTTTATGGCGTTTCTCCTCAATTTACAACCGTTGTATTAAAATACTTGACAGTTGGAGTGATGCTTCTGCCAATCCTGGAACTTTTATTACAGGCATCCTATCTATGGCAGAAGTGCAAGGTGGATAGCCAAAGGCATGATTATCATAAAACTGCTCCCAATCAGTCGATGGAGCATACCTACCAAAACTTCATGGGTAGCTGAGAGCACACCCAGAGTATATAACTCTTCCCTTGTACAGTGTTTCTCAGATCTCTCAGAATCATGGCTTCTAGGCTCAACCCTCATTTTTGGCATCAGCTTTCTTTATAATCTCAGTAACAGGTCTTCTCAGATTCATAGGAATAGAACAGTTCTTTGGGGTAGTGAAGGAATTCAATTAACTGTTTTCATCAATTGAGGGCTTTTCCTGACTGCTGTAGAAGCCTTCATCTGTGGTTTGATACAATGCTTTCATGACTAATTTCAGACTTATCCCAATTAAGCCATTCAAATAATAAAGTGAGGAAAAGTTTCTGCTTCCCTGACTTCCATAACACTGCACTTTTTAGCCATCAATGAAGTATTGACTCTGCATCTGCCAGGAGAAGAGTGAAGAGAAATCATGGTACTAAATTTGTCTCTTAAGACTCCCCGCAGATTGTACTGTGAGTTTTCTAGCACGTGAATGTAAATAATTTAAAAGTACCTTTCCTGAGACACATTTAGTGTATTCTTTTGCTGACTGCTTAATCAGACTACACTACTAGTGATCACTTTTCAGATACAGAAATTCAGGTTTATTTGCTTAGTATTGGCCTCCAGTGTGGACAAATATGAAAATATGCAAATTATCATCAACTTTGTGCATTTGACTGTTTCATGCAGGAATCTTTGTGCTGAAGTAACAGAGGGGAGTGGTTTATTCTGCATCATTCTTTGTTAAAATGAGCAATGGCTAACTGGTAGCGCATGCAGTAGGCATCTGATGTTACTTGGTGTATTAGTGTTTTGAGACTTCAGCTTTGTTTTCACATAAATGATTGCAATTCCAGATACTCTGCAGCATGTGAAGGACAGCAAACACATTATTGTGTATCATAAAGGCCGTTACTTCAAAGTGTGGCTGTACCACGATGGCAGATTGTTGAAACCCCGAGAAATTGAACAGCAGATGCAAAGAATTCTTGATGATGATTCAGAGCCTCAGGCTGGTGAAGAGAAACTAGCAGCTCTTACTGCAGGAGATAGGTATGGCAGGGGTTTTTTTTAATTAATTTAAATATTTAGAAATAGTTGCATAACATACTAACTGTATATGGGCTTTGGAATTTTAAAATGTTTTGCCATCAGCTGATTATACTTTGATCACTGATTTTGTATGTTGCTGACATGTAACAGCCTTTCAGTTGTTTGTAACTACACAGAGTTAAAAGCAATTCTGCAGTGGGAACCCTGTACACAAATTCCTTGTACTTAGCTGGAGAAGTTTGCTTTAATTGTGGTTATCAAAAGAGTGGTAATTGGAAGCTTTACAGCATTACACATATTGAACCACTTGAGTTTTATATCTACTCTGGGTTTCACTGACATTTTAAAGAATATCTTAAAAATTAAGATTGACAATGTGAATTTAGTAACTTACTCCATATTCCTATGCCTACTAAATAAAGCAGTAGGTACTCAGTTGGTTCTAGGTGAAAAATCATTGAATTCAATTAAATTGTGACAAACTTTGTTCAATCTATCTAGTTGTTCCTGGATAAGGGAGAGAAAGAGCTGTGGATTGTAATATACTTTCTTACTATGAGTTCTTCCTTTTTTCACTTTCTGCTTTAAAACAAACTGCAATATTTTTTCTTAGGGAAAATCACATATATTTATAAATAAATGTGGCTCAACTGCACAGAAATTACATTGTTCAGGACTTTTTAACTTCAAATCTGTTTCAGGCATTTACCACAGAACTTTTCATTGACAATTGTCCAGACTCTTTGGTTTAGGTGTTACAAGAATAGATATTAATATCTGTTGATTGTTTTCATTATTACTGCTATTTTCTTCTTCCATATAATAGATGTTTTCTTGAGTTATAAACACAGATGATCTATGCTATAAGTATTGCATGCTACAGAAATGTTGAATTTCTGAGAATTAAACTTTGCACATGTGATGATAAATTGAATCAGTTCTGAAAATACATCTACAATATAATCTTAAGAAATTTTCACTGTTAATATAGTTTAAATGCAATGAGAATAGTTGCTTCAAATTTGATAAAAGGAGGAATGTCTCATAGTGATCTTAAGGGTGATAAAATATTGACAAATTCATGTAATTCTGGCTGTAAACCAAATTCTTTTTGCAGAGTACCATGGGCTAAAGCTCGACAGGCTTATTTTAGCCGTGGAAAGAACAAACAGTCCTTAGATGCTATTGAAAAAGCAGCATTTTTTGTGACATTGGATGACATCGAGCAAGGGTACAGGAAAGAAGATCCAGTGGGGTCACTGGATGCATATGCAAAATCCTTAATACATGGCCGATGTTATGACAGGTACAGTACTGACTCTTCTGTTTTTTTAGAATTTCACTAATTTGCATGGCTAATACATATGAATTAATGATTTATAAGCTGATAAATTTCATAGAATCATAGAATGGTTTGGTCTAGAAGGGGCCTTCAGAGATCATCTAGTCCACAAGCAGGGACATCTTTCACTAGATCGCGTTGCTCAAAGTCCTGCCCAGCCTGACCTTGAATATTGTCAATGGTGGGGCATCAACAGCATCTCTGGGTAACTTGTCCCAGTGACTCTCCATCATCATCATCAAAGAAATTTCTCCCTTATGACAAATCTAAATATACCCTCTTTCAATTTATAACCATTGCCCCTTGTCCTGTCACTGTAGGTTGTGGTAAAAAGTCTTTCTCAGTTTTTCTTAGAAGTCCCCTTTATATATTGAAAGGCTGCAAGAAGGCGTCCTAGAGCCTTCTCCAGACAGAATAACCACCATCCTCAGCCTTTCTTCATGGGAGAGCTGTTGCAGCCCTCTGGTCATTTTTGTGGCCTCCTCTGGATCCGCTCCAACAGATCCGTGTCTGTCCTGTTCTGGGGATCCCAGAGCCCCCACAGCACTGCAGGGGGGGCTCACGAGAGCAGCACAGGGGGTGAGGATGGCCTCCCCTCGGCCTGCTGGCCACTCTGCTGCATCTGCAGCCCAGGATATGGTTGGCTTTCTGGGCTGTGGCTGCATGTTGCCAGCTCATGCCCAATTTTTTGTCCACCAGTACCCCCAAGTCCTTCTCCCCAGGGCTGCTCAATGCCTTCATCCCCCAGCCCCTGTTGATACTGGGGGTTGCTCTGACCCAGGTGCAGGACCTTGCACTTGCCTCTGTTGAACTTCATGAGGCTCAAATTTATGTCTATTTACTTAAATAAACTATTATTTAAAACAAAAGCAAAGAATTAGTGCATTTGAATGTGAATTTTTGAGGTTAAATTACAGTATAAAATGCTATTGAAAGGTAGAAAACTATAAGGAAACTTTAATTTCTTTTGTAGGTGGTTTGATAAAACATTCACTCTTATAGTATTCAAAAATGGCAAAATGGGTCTGAATGCAGAGCACTCTTGGGCAGATGCTCCTATTGTTGGACACTTGTGGGAGGTAGGTGTTAAATACAAAGCTAATGCAGAAGATAATGTGATGTGGTCCATGCAATGGTCCTGAAGATCAGCAGTTACTTTCATCACTTGCATTCATGTTGCTGATGAGTGATTATGAGCCTGTGTCTACAGCAACTGTAGCATTAAAAAAAAAATTGCTTAAAATTAAAGGTTGCTGTCCCTTAAGTTCTTTATTGCATTTTAATGAGCATAGACGTCTTCATAGAAAAGTGATACAGCTCTTCATCTAACTTGTTTATAAGAGTCTAAATCAAGAGATTGTTGTCTTTTTGATACAGCATTGTGTTTTGTGTATGTATGTGCTTCTGAAGCACTTAAGCTTTCTTGTGCTATAAAAATCCAATGCTTGCTATCAAAATTTAAAGAAATGGTACAGAGTTTAACTTTTCCTCTAAGCCATTGTTTGAGCTGCAGATTGCTATTCTGTTTAAATTATGTCCTGTACTTATTTGTAATGAATGGTATATAAATGTATTTTTTTGTTAGGTCTGCTCATTGTGAGCTTAATTCATTACTTGAGATTGTATTTGATTTTTTTTCTGTTTGAAGCTTACACCCATAAACAGTTACATAACTTAGTCACTCAGAACTTTTTCATAAACGTTAGCTAATTCTGATTTCATTATGGATTTGTGCAGATGGGTCTCAGGTCTGACTGATGCCCCAAGTGATTTCCTAATTTTATTATATGTGCGTTTCTATGTGTGTAAGAACAAAAAATCCTCATTGTATTCTCTAAATCAGGGAAGAAAGGCGATCAGACTGAGTCAAGATTGACTTGACAGTGCAGCTTAGACTAGCCTAATGAAAAAGAGTTACTTTGTTTTCTTTTAATGAAGGATGTTACATGCTTTAGTTCATATCTCTCTACTTACTATTAAATGGTTAATTTTCTGGTAAAATGAATAAAATAAGCTAAGTAAGATTTCATCTCCTAAGAAATTATGTTGTTAGCATTTATAGACTGTCTATTTTTAGAATAGAATGGATTAAGCTTTATTTCATAGTTGGCATGTTCTGACCACTAATTAAGAAAATCAAAATGGAGTGTATTGGAAATACATATGTAGAACATGCAATAGATTTGTCAAGCTTTTTCTTTCCATATTGAGCAGATACAAATTTATTTTTTTTTTAACACGTTGAAGATGTTTGAAATCTTCTAAGAGCTTTTTTGTCTGTTCAAGTTGTGTTGTTCATCATATTGTTCATTCTACTTCCCCACCCAAGAGCTCTGGTGCACATATAAAATAAACTCAATTTTGAGTGCGATGCAAATCAAAAAGGATTAAATTCTTGCAGGCATATGCACCTACTCTGAAATAAACTGTTGATGAACAAGTTTTGACAGATAACAAACTTGCAGAAGTTCTCTAGAATCTAAACTGAACAAAGGTTGTGGAATCTAAGCCTCTAAGACTGACTTTTTATTACAGCTAATAAGTTTGAGGTGGGTTTTTAACTGAAACATTTTGATTAATTCAGTAGCATCTAATAATGTGCCAGGGTAATTGAATAGGTGTGCATATCTGGTATTCTTCCCACTCAGAACACAAGTAAAAAATGTGTTAAAAGAAGAGGTAAAGCAGAGGGCTTTACTGCAGCTACTTTCAGTATTTGGAAATGTATATTGTATTTCACTATGTGCTGAAAATGGATTATATTGATTTCACAGTTAAATCCTAATTCCACAGCAATATTTAATATATTGCAATTCTGAAGAAGTATTGTTCTTTGCAGAATGTAATGGCAACTGAGTATCTTGAACTGGGCTATTCAGAAGATGGGCATTGCAAAGGAGATGCCAATCAAAATATTCCTATTCCTACCAAACTGCAGTGGGAAATTCCAGAAGAAGTAAGTACAGAACAGCTAGTGGTTTGAGAAAGAAGCCTTTCTTTTCCTGAGCAGTCAGATAACTTAAGTAATTACTGATAACCCTATAAATCAGCTTTAAATTCCTTTGACTCTTGTTAGATGTCTTTTTCATGTGTGGATATTATCAGTTGACTTAAGATATCACAGGGTTTTAGTATCACTCTTAAAAAATTCTAGTAAAAAGTTGGCATTTCCTGGCTAGAAACTTTACTAGAAACTAGGTTGCAACATGTCAAAAATAAGTGGCCACCTATTTTAAATAACAATTGTATTAAAATGAAGTTTAAGTTGCTGAGGTTTCATTACTGTTGTCACAACAAATGCAATTATTTAACAGTTCCTTGAGATTAGCTGTCTTTTTTGTGTTCAAAATTCTGTATACGTGTTGAGTAAGGTTTGATTTTTTTTTTATTTTTTTATTATTTTTTTTTTTTTACCTGAGTTCAAGACAAACTGTCACCACCTATTTGGATTTTAATTTTGAATAAAAAGGTAGTGGTTGGTGATATGTTTAAGTATGTCTGGCAGATTGGAAGCCACACAACTATTGCCATAGTGTCTCTGTGGGTCATTCTCTTATGTTCTAGTGATCTGAACAGTCTTAATGCTGATATTTTTTAAAGTGTAATTTTTGGACTCCAGATATGTATTGGTTATAACTTTTTAATTAGCTTTTTGAATTTTAACTTTCCTGAAAAGATAGCTTCTCCTCTTTCCCCAAATGTAGATTATTTAAGTGATGTTCCTGGCATGCATAAAGGCAGCACTTCTTACTTAGCAGTTAAAAATGATTGCACTTTCTGAACAGTTTTCTCAAATGCCATCAAATGCACTCATATGAGCATATGTGAATATAAGTATTTATTTATTTTAGTGTCAAGAAGTGATTGAGAAGTCTCTGAGCACTGCCATAGCTCTGGCAGATGATGTGGACTTCCATTCATTTTCCTTTGATGCTTTTGGGAAGGGACTAATAAAGAAAGCAAAAACCAGCCCTGATGCCTTTATACAACTTGCCCTGCAGCTTGCTCACTATCGGGTAAGAAGAACAGACTGTTTCTGGCTTATAGAATCTCATTAATTTTGGTATAGCTTGTTTGTGATTAAAGCATGTGGCTGTGTAAAGTACTTCAATCTTGCACTACTTGTGCAAGGTTATTAAAGACATTCAATGGAAAGTGGTACAAACACTAAACACTTTGATAGCTGGAAATTAATTGTCCAAAGGGTGATGTATTGACACTCATGCAAATTTTTTGAAAGAAGTAGATCTGAAACTTCTGATAGATGTGTTTATCATCTAAACCATGTTAAACTTATCTTTTGGTTTGGAATCACCCTTAGTTCAGTAGTCATGGACACTCCTTAGGAGGATTAACAGAAATGCCTGCCTGTGTTTTATTCTGGTAGTTCACCCTTTCAATAATGTGCTTTCAGAATACACCAGTGTACCAACATGCATGTTTTAAATTTTGCTTTCTAGTTGTCATTGTTGAGATACTGTTCTACTTTTTTTTTAAAAAAAACAGTAATTCCAAATGGTTTTTCAAAGCATTCAGACTTCCTGACAGCTATCACCAATTACAGTCTTTCTGTAGGATAGCTACATGGCACATAGTTTTGACTACCTCTTATTTTGAATACCTACCCTCTTAATCTAAAACTGAACAGACTTTTACAGTCTATTCTGATGTATGATTTTTTTTTTTTAGACAGATACAATTGCTAACGTGTTAGATAAACTATCAGTTAGCAACTTGTAATTTGTAGACTGTGCACATCCTACAGGAAATACAGAAGCCACACTTCCTAGGTTTTGCAGGATGTTTTCAGTTCTCCTATTCTTGAAAATCCTCACACTAGCATGCATCTGCATGCTGTTAAACTTTTAACTGAAAATACTTTCAAGGATGTTAAAGTTTTCTCAATTAGGTACCACAGCTGTTTTAACTAGGAAGCCACTGAACTTCCAAATAGGTTTTTGATAGCCTTTAAATCAGCTTCTTTTATAAACTGCAGAAGATTGGATATAAAATGTACAGGGTAGTCCTTGCTGGTCTGGTTGTTCCTATTGTCATTTATCAAAATGCTATTTTTGTCTTTATCTTTCGGTAAGATTGCTAATGGTGGGCTACTAAAAACAATGTTGAGTTTAATTTGTGGAGTGATTCATTATCTATCCTGTGTGCTTACCTTGACCTGTTGATTAAGAAAGAGGGGCTAAACCTGGCTAAATTTTAAGTTCTTGTTCTTCCCTTTTCAAGGACATGGGAAAATTTTCTTTAACATATGAAGCCTCTATGACACGCTTGTTCAGAGAAGGCAGGACTGAAACTGTCCGGTCCTGTACTGTTGAATCATGTAATTTTGTTCGAAGGATGGAAGACCCAACTGAAAGTGTAAGTTCATGGTGTTGTTGCCTTATACAATCCATAAGGGACATGAGTTATCACTAGATAACTGTGTAAGTTCCCAAATAATTTTTAAACAATTAGTGATGCCTTTGTTTTTTAGGCATGAAGTGCAGCATAAGGTAATTGTCGATGTTTCCTGTCAACATGGCAGAAATTCAAGGCTATACTGAAAGAGAATGGCAGTAACTTAGCCAAATATGACATTTTTTACAGTTCCTGAGCTGCAGAAAACTGAGATGACTTGTGAATTTTTTATGACTTGTAGAACTCAAAGATCTGTAAAATGAGTAACCCATACCAGTTAGGCTTTCCTTTCTGGTAGGGAGGCAAGTATTCACAAGAATGAAGTAGGTGCTCTTATATGTTGATTTCAGTGGGCTTTTTAATCTTTCTTGTGATCTTCTGATTAGCAAGCAAAGGAAGCATGGTCTGGGGGAAAACTTCTTGGCTTGGAAGACTTGGACAATACTGGTTAAAATGTTTGCTGTCAGAATGGAAGGGTGGAGAATGGTCGTCCTGAGGACTTGCTGTTCTTTAATCCACTGCTATTCCCAGTTTTCACAGATACACTTTGATGAAATAAATCATTACATTTGCAGGTTTTGCTAAGTTGAAGGAGATTCCCAGTTCTTTGGAGTCAATAAAAATTTGACATGAAAAAGAGGATTTTGTTGAATAGGAATGAACTCAAGATATTGCATCCAGGCTTGAATAACAGCTGCATCGGTTCTAATGAAAAAGATCTAGGACTATAATAATCGGTAACTGAACGCTGACATAGCACGTTCAGTGCTGTCCCATTGGGAAAAATGAAGGCCTTATTTCAGTTATTTTTGCCCTTTATTTTTAGTAGTTACTTTTTTCTAAAGCATTAACTGGGGTTTTGGACACCACGTTTGAGGTATGGATGGATTGGAGAGAGTGTAAAGGAGAGCAAGAAGGATGGTTAGAAACCTCTGAAGAGGATCTGTGAGGAGAGTTTGAACTTAATTATTCTTGCCTAGTCTAGAGAACATGAGGGAGCCAGGTTATGCTCAAGAAGATAAAAAGGGTGATGCTTGTCTCTGTCTCCAGAAGTAACGGAATTAAATTTTGGAAAGAAACACATTAGGAAAACATTTTCTGCTAGTGAGGATAATGAGTAAGGAGGGAAATACAGTGAGAAGCCTGAAACAGATTGCTTGGGAGGGTGGTTGTTTCACTTTGAAAATCTTTGAGCTATGTAATGGTCCTTCAGAAAAGCAGTTGATCAGAGCTTAAGGCAGACAAGTCTAAGGAAATGAACAGTTGAGGTTTGATTCTGTGAATAAATGTTACTGCAAGAAAATAGACGCCCAGAGAAAGAGAAAAATTTTTTCTCCCTCCTCTTTCTGGAAGTTCTGTGTAGGTAAAAACCCCTGGCTTTCTCAATGTGATGTACTGTAGCTGTGATCAGACCAGTGGGAGTGTGGAAATCCAGTCATGTCAACATGTCATACGTAACTGTACAACTGACTACCGGTGTATAGAAAGTAATTTTGACATAGTCCTAATGTCAGAATTAACTGCTATTACATCTCTGCAGTTAACATCTGTATTTTCCTTAAAGGAGTAAGGTAGCACCAAACATGGCAAGATTGTATATACAGCAGACTTCATTCTGCTCACTTTTTTTTGTAACTACTACAAATATGATTCTTTTTCAGACTTGTTGATTCATTACTGTCCATCTGGAATGATCAGCCACAGAGCAGAGGCAATAATGCAATTTTTAGTTTTTATGTTATGAAGCTTGTATTATGTGTGTTTATATGTTGTTTTAAAAACAGTTGTCTGCCTTTACTGCTTGCTTCTAGTTTTCTCTGGGTTTTTCCTTGGAATTTTTCCTAAGTGCTTCTATCCTCCATAGATTATCCACAAAGCTTTATTCCTGAATGCCAGTGGTAGGCATGCTTAGCATGACTACAAGTGATTTATTAGTTTCTCATGCTGGAGGCAAGCAGGCTGCTCATTGTGTCCCAAATAAGTGGTGTAAAGTGCAGTGATATTGGAGATAAAAAGTGACAGACTGTCATGTATGGAATGCAACACACCGAGTATTATAAAATCTTAACAGAATGGCTGTCTAAGTGTTCTGAGGAGACACTTTCACCCTTGCAACATTTATACAGTATCCACAGAATCATAGAATATCTCAAGTTGGAAGGGATCCATAAGGGTGCCAACTCCCTGCTCCTCTCAGGACTACCTAAAACCAGTACCTTATGACTAAGAGCATCATCCAGACACTTGAACTTAGACAGGCTTGGTGTCCTGATGACTTCCTTGGGGAACCTGTTCCGGTGAACAACCACCCTCTCAGTGAAGAAACTTTTCCTAATGTCTGAACTTCCCCTGATGCAGCTTCATTCCATTTCCTCACGTCCTGTCACTGGTCACCAGAGAGATCAGCACCTCCCCCTCCACTGTCCCCCCTGAGGAAGCTGTAGACTGGGATGGGGTCAGTCCTCAGCCTTCTCTGAGCTGAACAAAGCAAGTAACCACCTCTCTAGTCTATCCAGAGCTCTCTGTAAGACCTTTCTACCCTTGAGGGAGTCCGCAGCTGCTCCTAGTTCAGTATCATCAGTAAACTTACTGTACATTCAACTCCTGTGTCCCAATCCTTCATAAAAATATCAAACAGCACTGGCCCTAAAACTGAGCCCCACTGGTGACTGGCTGCCAGCCTGATGTAACCCCATTTATTATAACTCTTTGAGTTGACGTATCAACCAGTTGTTCACCCTTATCTAGCTGTATGCTGGACATTTTGTCCAGAAGGATGTTATGACAGACAGTTATCAAAAGCCTTGCTAAAATCCAAAAAATCCCACATCTACTGGCTTCCTTTGGCCAGCTAGATGGGTGACCCTTGTCATAAAAGGAAATTTAGTTCAAATGGGACTTTCCCCTTCTGAACCTGTGTTGTCTGTGACCAGTGACTACATTGGCTCTCAAGTGTTTTTCAGTAACTCGCAGAGTAACCTTCTCTGTGATTTTTTTTAACAGGCACTGAATTGAGACTGACAGGCCTGTAATTACCAGGGTCTCCCTTCTTACCCTTCTTAAAATTGGGACAACATTTTCTGATTTCCAGTTGATGGGGACCTCTCCAGATTCCCAAGACCATTGAAAAATAACAGAGAGTGGTCCTGAGATACCATCGTCCAGCTCATTTAGTTCCTTGGGATGAATCCCATGGGCCCCATAGACTTACGTGCCTCCAGCAGGAGCAGTAAGTCTCACACAAGTTCAGAGTCAGCTGAGAGTTTATCATCCCCCCAGTCACAATCTTCCAACACAGGGCTCTGGTGGTCCCAGGGCCCATCATTGGTGTTAAAGACAGAAGTGAAGAAGGCATTAAATGTCTCCGCTTTGTCTACGTCCCTATTTGTGAGGAACCCTTTTTGCTGTCCTCCATGGTACTGGCCAGCTTGAACTCTAATTGAGCTTTGGCTGCACACATTTCCTCCTTGCAGTGGTGAACATCACCTCTGTAGTCATCCCATGTCACCTGGCCTTGTTTCCAATGTCCATACACTTTTCCACCTAAATTCTAGAAGATGATCCCTGCTTGGTTGAGCCAGCCTTCTGCCCCACTTGCTTGACTTATGACACTTTGGAATTGTCTGCTCCTGAGCTCTTAAGAGAAGGCTTTTAAAAATGACCAGCATTGTGGACTCCTGGTATCTTGTTGGTTTGCCTTCTAAAATGGACTGTTGCAGTTGCAACTTTTCTTTAAATCATGTTGAGAATTGCACTGCTGTAACTTTTTAACTCATGTCTCTAGAAACTAAATATACAATAATGTAGTAAACCTGAGTTGTAATCATGTTTTATTCTGGGGTTAGATCACGCTTAAAATACAGATTTGTTTTTGTTATATACTGTTTACAGCAGATAATAGTTGACACTTGCTAACGACAGAAACTGAATATGTGAGGCTGAAAAGCCAGAGGATTCTAGTACTTGGTGTTAGTTGCATGCATTGTCTTGTACTTGACCCTTAAGTGCTCTAGGCTGGAGAGCCCTTGCTGTAACTGAGTTTCTGCACCTCCATCTTCAGCCCAGTTCACTTAACGGATTTTTCTTCATCTTTTTTTTTTTTTTTAATTGTTAGAATGAAATCAAGCTTAAATTCTTCCGGCTTGCTGCTGCCAAACATCAGCACTTATATCGTCTCGCCATGACTGGTTCTGGCATTGACCGCCACCTGTTCTGCCTTTACGTCGTGTCCAAGTACCTTGCTGTAGACTCTCCTTTCCTTAAGGAAGTAGGTGTCTTTTATTTAGAACTATTAATTACAGTAAATAATCCTTTGTTTAGTTAGTGTTTTCTGGTAACTGCTTACATACTTGTTGAACTCTGGTTCTCCTAAGGAAAAAAAAAAGTGAGAGTTTAGCTAGCATAATTTAACATCTGCTGCTAGATTACAAGTTTCGTTTTGCTTTATGTACACACTTATTAAGGGATCCGTAGTAATGCTTTCTGTGAGCTTCATAATATAATACATGTTGTTAAGGATTGCAAGGAAGATAGAGTCAGTATTACAAAAAAATACTGGTTGCTTGTGGTTTTTACATATTTTCAAGGCAGCACAACAGAGACTCTGTTTTGTCTCAATGTTCTTTTGGAATTGTGACAAAATCACTTTAAGTTACTGTGAATTAAAGGAGCTGTATGTTGCGATTTATGGGTTTTAATGCACAATATTAATGTCACTGTTTATTACTGTGACAAATGATTTATTATTTAAACTAGATTTTAAGGTTGGGTTTTATAAAAGTAATTATATTGCACTTGTTCATGTGTTCTGATTAATAAAAAAGTATGTTCCAGCTTGCCTTCAAATTAAGCCACTCATATTTGTCTGCTTGCCCTCCTAAATGTGAGTGAGTAGTGGCTAAGTCAAGAATAAAACAACTTTTTACAACTTCCGTGGACTTTCAAGATGCATGTGTATTGTTAGAGATTTTAGAAGCTTCTAGCCTGAGGTGGTATCTTAGCAGGATTTGAATATGGCCATTAATGATCTAACTGTTAACAAGACCTGTTTTGCAGAATTTACCAGGCTGTAGACCAGACTAATCTATTTTGAAATAGCACTTCTGTTGAAAAACTTCTATTCTCTTTAAGGAATTGGCATCAAGACCTCATGTTAATGGCTTATGTGTCAGGACAAGTTTAGCTATTGCTTTTATCCTTCTTAACTGTCCATTGAAATATGAACTGGAGTTATCCTTAATATGCTAGTTTTTGAGAAAATTGCATGTTCTTTAACAATGTGTTAAACTTGTTTGCATCTCTTTCATATCTTAAAAAGGTTTTGTCAGAGCCTTGGAGACTGTCAACGAGTCAGACACCACAGCAATACATCGATCTAAAGAAGAACCCTGAGATGTTATCCTGTGGTGGAGGATTTGGACCGGTATGTTGGCTAAATACAAGCACCCCTTTAAAAAGAGTTTTATTTTTAATATGCTAGTCTAAAAATTTCAGATCTGTAATACTTCAGTGTTGCACATCAGAGGTACAACACATGCTTTTAAATGCATGTCTTCAGTGCTTTCCCGTGATGTGGATGTGCTCAGAAAAGCCTGCATCACCTTTTTCTCATATACCACTACAAGAATGGATTATTCTTAAGGAAATACACAGTTATCTAATGTGGCACAGGGCTGCATGGCAGAGAGATCTGATAAAGTGGGGGCTTTTATCACATTATCTATGCCTAGAGCTTCTGTACATCAGGCTATCATTACAGTGACAAATGCCTTATTAATTAAACTAGATTTTAAGGTTGGGATTTGTAAAAGTAATTATACTTGACCTGTTCTTTGTATTTCCTGATTAATTAAAAACTGTGTTTATGCTTTCCTCTAAGCTATTCACATTGTTCTGCTTGCCCTCCTAAGTGTGAACAGTGGCTGAGTCAAGAATAAAAACCGTATTCTGCAGCATCTATAGACTTCCAAGAAACTAGTGTATTGTTAGAGATTCTACAAGCTCCTGACTTGCTGTACTATTTTACTGGGATTTGAACATGGCCATTGATGATGATATAGCTGTTAGCAAGATCTGTTAAGCAGACTTTATGGGGCTCTAAACTAGATTAATCTGTTTTCAAAAAGCATTTCTATTGAAAGAACAATGAGATGGATCACAGGACTGCTCTTTGCCACACAGAAATTAGGATGATGAGTACAGTGTATTTTGGCTGGTTTGTCAGGCTGCAAGTTTGGGGATTTTTTGTGCTTCTTAAAAAAAATTATTTATTCATGTTTCTGATACAGCTTTCAGTAATTCTTGAAGTTGGAATGAGTTTAAATTACAGTATCAAGGAATCTTAGCTATTGCGATGCTGCTTATTCATGAGAAACTGCCTTGCTCCAGCAGATAATAAAGTCAGTGTTTAGAATCACCCAAAAGGTGTAGTCTGCCAATAAAATAGAGTTTTAAGCTGCAGGAATTTCTAATGAATTTCTAATGCTTTTTTCCTTTTCTTTTTGCTGATGCTACATTAACTGTTCTCTTCTTACTCTTTCTTCATTCCTTTAATTTCCTTCCTTCAGTTCTCTGCTTTTCCAAATAACCCTGCTTACATTTCCCTTCATTTCTTGTATCCTTACAAAAACTGTGCTTTGGTTTGAAGTAGCCAGAGATTCAGTACATTGGGCTTTCCGTGTGTGGTGTTTGATGGGTTTGAGTTTTGGTTTTTCTTTTTAAGTGTTCTGTAGAGTATAGCCCTGTAGCACTAATGGAGAGAAGGCTCTCAGGCTGCTTAGAAGCAGTGGCCACAAGGAGCTTGAAGGCTGTGATCCTTTGAGTTGGGAAGGTGAGGAAGGATGGTGGCAGCAGGATAGTCTGTGTTTCCTAGGCATACTTTAAAATCAGACTGTAACTCAGGACAGTTAATCCCGCTAATGTTGAAATCAGACCAGAGCTCTGTTCGTGATACGGGTGTTCAGAATCATATTTTTGCTGTAGAGTTGAATGACTTTGTCTTTGGGCAAGTTTTTATAGTACAAGGCTTGTATACTCTGTGTTTCTAAACAGTATATGTTTACATCTGCAGAGTGATCCCATGAAACAGGATGTTTAGGTATACAACTGAACTGCTTTATTCCTTTCTACTTAAGCACTGAAGCTGTGTAGCTGCTTAGGACCAGACCTTGGTAGGATAAGGTCTTTGAACAAGTATTCTATTTCAGAATACGAAATGTGGGAAATATTACAGACATATATTCATAAAATGTTAATTCCATGCACTTCAGCTGAGAATAGAACAGCTTCCTTACATGAAGTCAGTCTTCAGAAATGATATGCGTTAAATACGGAAGCTTAACTTTTGCTTGAGAAGAAATTGCAATGGATTTTAAAACTGCACAGTAAGAATTGTGTAATTATGTGTAAGATAATTTAGGAGTGGAAGGAGAAAGAAAGAGTTTAGAACTTTTTTTTTCTTTTCTTTCTTCCCCTAGGTGGCTGATGATGGTTATGGTGTTTCTTATATTATCCTAGATGAAAATGCCATCCATTTCCACATCTCCAGCAAAATATCTTGTCCTGATACGGTAAGAGTCAGTTCCTTCCTATGGTTTAATAAATCTGTTCTGTATTTGCTTATAAAACTGTTCTACTCAGTGTCTAAAAAAAATTTAGTAGGACTTGCAACATACAGTTATAACGTATTCTTTCTCAACATATGCTGTTTTGGTTGGGAGGGGGGGTGTCCCCACTTCTATAAATTTAATAGCTTTATGAACCAAAGAAACCATATTCTATTCACTTATGCTTTCAAGCATAAAGAAAGCATGTGGCCCAAGGTCATCTTTACACACGTGTAGTTCCTTGGAACTCATGTGAAATTACTTGTATCTGTCCCATAAAGAGTAAGATGGATGTTTCCTGGGTTTTTTTATTACAGTTTTGCTTTGTTTTTTGTCTCTGGCTGCAGTTGCAAAGACAAAGTAAAATGTATGTTCCCTATTCTTTAAATCATCTTGGTTTAAATAATACTGAAAGAAGCTGGCCCACAAATTGTAATCTGTGCTTGAGAAACATAATTAATCAAAAATTTATTAGACTAACACCCATTATTAGACTGTAGTATGTGTCATCTATTCAGTATCCTGCTGTTGCTTCATTTCATTCTTCCCCTGTAGGTTTTTATGACTTCAATAAACATGCTGAGTTTGTTCAAGATTACATAGCTGAACTAGTTTTCCTCTTTTGACCTTAACTTGTCCGAGAATTCTTGGTGCCTTTGGTTAATCATTAAAGATTAGGAAATACAACTTCGGGTTTTTTCCTAGTTCAAATTGTTCTTCAGATGCCTGTTAGCTTGTACTTTAAATTTCCCTGTAATTTTTACTTACTAGTCAAGTCAAAGGTCCATACAGAAAGGGCAGCATTTGTGTGCATGGCCTCGATATTAGCAGAGTCTTTGTAGTAAGTCCTGTAATGTAGCTAGTAATTTATATTTGTTATCTTAATTTCTTCCTTGTACCATTCATCTGACACTTAGAATAAACAGAACAAGTTCATAGTTTGTTTACTCTTAGATAATTGATTTTTATTTTCAATAATTCATGTAATTTTTCAATGGCAAAATTCAGGATTCTGATAGGAACTCAAATACAAAGTTTTTCTGCTTTTTTGGTACTTTAGGCCTTATTCATACACCTTGTGAACATTTTTTCATTTTCTGAAAACTAGCTTTTGCAAAATAAAAACCCCAAACAAACCAATACCAAACCCCAACTATTTTAAAGTAATGGAAAGCTATAAATGCATCTGATTTCAAAAGGAGATGATCTCTGTTCTGTCTTTAGGAAAGTAAATGCATAATGAAGGACTTGTTAGTAATAGCATAAACCTGGATTAATTTGTATAGCATTACATTTTTTGTGATTTAAATTCCCTATTTTATGGTAAGATACATGCCTGAAGTCCATAGGCTCTAAAATTACAAAATGTGAAAAGGTTCCTTCTTTTGCCTAAAAGTTAATTGCTGATTGACAAGTCTTTGGTTTTGTGTTTTATTTTTAAAGGATTCTCATCGTTTTGGAAAAAACATCAAAAAAGCAATGGTTGACATCATGGGCTTATTTAACCTTAGTAAAAACTGTACCAAGTGAATTGCCTTATTGGTGCCAAGCAATCTCCTGTTGTTGGGATGAGAACTCTTCTGCACAGTGAATGAGAGTAAGGTTTGTCAAACAGTAGCTGGCGAAGAAACTGAGTCAACATCTTCTTGATCACCTATGAAAACCTTAGCAGTGTATTGAATGTTTGGTTTGTTTTGTTTTTTTTTTTTCAGTAGTTTGGAAGAGTTTATTTCCACAAAGGGATGACCTTTGGAATCTTGTATGTTTCTAGGGATGAAGTATATTACCATTGCATGAAGTCGTGTATATTCTAACTCCTGCAGTTTTCTCTTAATTTGTATACACTTGCTCTTTTTTTACTTAAAATTAGTCTATTTGTATTCCAGAATCAAAGGGATAAAACGCACTATCTTAAACTCAAATACTAGAAAAAGTTCCATTCGCTATAGCAGAATGTTCTTCAATGTATCTGCTGCTTTATGCCAATGAATGACAAAACTTGTGGCTCTTTACCGTCAATTGTTTCTTGGGGTTTTTTTTAAAGGTAATTTCTGTAAAACATACACAGAAAAATCCCTGATATAACCCACTGTAACATATCAAGTTGTTGAAAATTTTTGTGGGTTTTGGAAAAAAGTAAACATTGGGTAGTGCTACATTGGGTAGTCAAATGTGTCACCTAATTAGCACATATCACATTTTTCTTCTTACTTACAAGCATGTTTGCCACATCACTTTTATTTCCATATAAATAAACCTGTGTGCTTGTTCATGTGAGTGCCTTAGCAAAAGGAAGATCCTAAACCCAGGAAAAAACCTTATGCTGGGAGTTGGTTTTACATTGTCTTAGTAGTGCAGGAGGTGAAGTAGCAGCAATGCAGATCTAGTTTTCAAACTGGTTCTGGCACAAGTAGACTTGAGTATGTTGCCATATGGTGCAGTTCAGCTTAAAGCTCTAAGAAAATGCTCCCATCTTAAGTGGCAAAGATCAGTCCCTATGAAATGCAGGAGTAACTTTGTTTCAGAGCTGCAGATACTTATGTGCTTATTTTGGTGAATGGTATTGGTGGTCATTTGAGATAAGAGTTTCTGGGTCCCAGGGAATGTCAGTTTGCTTAAACTGGATAGTGCCTGAAGCATGGCTGCCTGGAGGGGTGGTCAAAGGCAGTTTGCCCACTGTCAGCCTGGAAGGACGACTGCTGTGTTGCCAGCCATCTGCACGAGAAGGGCAGGCTGTTACAGCTGTGGACAGTAGCTCCAGAATGGGAAAACCATGGCCTTCTCAAACCCCTCTTGGGAGATGCTCTTGGTCAAGCACAGTTCCTGAAGGATACAAGGAGGGACGGGAAAGCTATTTCACTCAAAAAGGAGCATAATGTTTCTGAGTGCAGAAATAAAGTGGCTACTACAAAATGAAGTAACTTTGTGCAAAAAGTCTCTATTCCCCAGGCTATATAGGTGTGGTTACTTTTTACATCCTGCAGTGCAGCAAAGTGTACCTGTTGGCACAACTTTTTTTTTTTTTTTTATGTGAGGTACATGGTGATACAGTGAATGCTGCTCCAGAGCTGTGCTGATTTTAAAAAGCCTTTGGGGTTGATATAAAATTTCTCATTAGACATTGAATGTTTTCTGGCCAGTATTTCTAACTTTCTATGCCTCTTCATGTTTGTGGGGGGTTTTTTTGTTTTGTTTTTTGGTTTTGGGGGGTTTTTCTCTGATCTAGCTATTAAAACACCTATATATGTGTGTCTGAGGTGGGGAAACCTCAAAGATCCCAGATGCATACTTAAGCAAATGCATGCTTATCTAAAAGTAGGAACCCTCACAGGAATTGGCCAAAGATACTCATTATTTGATATGGGTACAGTGTGTGGGAAAGGACATTTTGAAATAAGCCTTGCTGCAGCTGGCAGGCCTGGCATTTATCAAACTACTGCAACGATTTTTTTAGTGGCCTGTTCTTTTGGAGATACAAAAATAATGCACTGTTTTTTGGGGTTTTTATTTTTATTGACCACTGACCAATCTGTGCTTAAATTAACATTAAAGCATATTGGCTTGTAGGATTTTCTGTTTAAAAAAAAAAAAAAAAAGGCTTAGATTTGACTCTCAGGTTTTAAATGTTTCAAGTCTAATTGTAATTAGTGCAGTTATCAATGCAATTTTACATTCTTAGAGAGTAAGTATAATTGGCACAGAAAGCTGTTTTTTATTGTAAATGTTTTAAACATTTTGTGGTGTTAAATGTTTTTGTTTGTTTGTTTTTTAATTTGGGATAGATCATAATTCCTAAACAGATTTTATTTCATTTTCTTTAAAATGTCAACAGCATGTACATAAAATGTGCTTTTTTTGGATGTAAATCTTAGAAATCCACAGTGAATGTAGGCTATTAATAAATAATTTAAATCTTGATGTTCAATATTGTGTACATACAGTGAAACTGCTTGCTTTTTTGCTCAAAAGCCATAGGAATGTAACTGAAATTACCTAGATTTGAATGAACTTTCTAGTACAGTGTACATTAAAATGTTCATATTCCAGAAAAGCTACTAATTTGTTACTAAAACCTTGAATCACTTATTCTCAATTGGTGATTTAAGAGCTCAGATTTAGGGTTGAATAGGTGGTAAAAGTTAGGTTGGATGATAATTGACCTGCTTATTAAACAGCACTGTGGGATTGGTGGAATACTTTGAATGTGCATTTTCCAAATTTCTTATTTCAGCTATTTCATGACAGAAATTAGGAAAGCATTAAGTGCATTTAGAGACTATGCATTGTCCAGGATTGACACCATGCCAGACTTAAATATTCTTTTAAGGGTTGGGTTTTATGAGGGACTAAGGAAGTGTGTGCCTGACCTTGAAAATCATGGTTCTAATTCAGCCTTCGTACCAATTTTTTTCTTGTATAGAATATATTAATTTAAGCTAGGTTTTTTTATCTTGTTCATTACTTTACATTTATGGTTGGTTATTTAGATCTACCACTTTGTCTCTATTTTCTACCTTCTTCTGTGACTTAAAAAATAAAATTTCACAATTACCACTACTTAATACAATGTTTAATATCCTTCATATCTTCTTTCCAGCTCCCTTGCTGCTGTCTCTGGATTTGTGAAATCATCATTAAATCCAGTTAGGAATGATAGTAGCAGACTATACATTGTTTTAGCAGTGATTTATATATGACTTGCTAGTTAACAGGGAATGTCTTAATGAGCAGTTAAGAAAACTTACCATGTTTCTGTGAAGCAGTCTGGGCAAGTGTCCTGGTCTGAGCCCAGAAGGCAACTGAGCACCATGCAGCTGCTGCCTTACCCCTTCCCCTCAGCAACTGGAAGGAGAAAATAAAACAAAAGGCTTGGGAATAATGGGAGTCATCCCTCCCTGTCCTTATCTTGAGGGAATAAAAAGAACATTAATTCAAACACTAACAAAAACCACTTAACAGACGGAGTAGGACAGTGAGACACCTTCCTCCCCCACACCTCCCTTCCTCCCAGGCTCAGTTTTGCTCCTGCTCTCTCTCCCTTCTCTGCCCCAGCAGCACCCCGGCAGGGAAGGGGGCAGGGGGGGAGGACACACCAGTCCTGGCCTCCTGCTCCAGCAGGGTTCCCCTCTCATGGGAGACAGTCTGACGTGAGTCCTTCCTCTGGGCCACAGTGCTCCTTGGGCTGCTCTGGGGTGGGTGCCCCTCTGCATGTCACAGCCCTCCCAGGGCTCAGCTGCAGCCTCCAGCCACCTTTGGGCACAGCCCCCTGCTCTGCTCCGATCCACGGGCTGCATGTGTGGCTCTGCACCCCTGGTGACCCCCATGGGGGGTGGCCCTGCCGTATCACCACAGGATACAGGACTCTGCTCTGGTCTACCTCCATTGCTTCCTCCTCCTTCCACTGACCTTGGTGTTCACATGGATTTCCTCCTCACAGCTCCAACTTCTCCTCTCAGGTTCCCTTCTTAAATACATTATTGCAGAGGTGCAGCCACTGTTGCTAATGGCCTTGGCCAGAGGCAGGTCCCACCTGGAGCTGGGGGAGCTTTGAGAAGCTTCTTACAGGGGCCACTGCTTTAGCCCCCTCCCCTGCTGCCAAAAACCCCAGCACAGCAAGCTAGTGGATAGCACTAGTTTGATCTTTACAGTGAATAATCCATAGAATATGAATGATAAAGCAGTAGACTACTAGTTCACAAAAAGTTAATATTGTTAAAATATTAATTGCTTTCTCTGAAGATTCCCAGTACCCAAAAACTCCTCTGAAATTGCATTAAAACTGGGGACTACTTTGAGACTGTTGAAGAGGATTTTTTTTTACCCTTTAAAGCTTCACATGCTGGTTTTTTGAATTGCTGTTTAATTAAAAAGAAAATCTCACACAAAGCCCACATAGTTTTATGTGACAGACCATTTTCACAGTCACTTAGTTTGCTGCTTTTCTGCATTTTGCAGCCTTCGCTACATGAAAGAACACACTTCATCTCTTAGATGCTCTAAGTTCCTTGTTGTATTTCAAACATCTCCAACAAGGCTGTATGCTGAAGCTGTGAATTTATATGTTCAGCCTGAACAAAAAATGGTGTATGAAAAGTTTGTAGGCACAGAATACTGATCTATTTTGTTCCCCCCACCCCCCATTCCTTCTGCTTGTTTTTAAGGGTGATAAGTATAGGATGCATCTTAGAAAATGTTGCTGTAGTTGTTTGTACATGATGCATGGGATTCATCAGCTCCTTCTAAAATTAATGAACTCCTGGTGGGACATACTAGAATAAAAAACGTAGCTGTTAGATGAAACCTCTGAGAGGGGAGGAGAAAGTGTGGGCTTGTTTTGTTTTGTTCTGTTTTTCCCTAACTTTCATGGGTGCCAACCCAGGGTCAGCAGGGTGGAATTTTGTAACCAAAAGCCTTAGGAAAAACTGTTTCTGGTTTCTTCTCGGATTAATTATAAGGCTGAATTAATGGATGAAAGGTAACTTCAAAATGGTTTGGGTGATTTTTAGTTGCTGTAGGTTTTTTTAATACACAAAACTTCCTAAAAGTGAAGACATTGATGAAATGAAAAGTTCAGGTTCAATTTCTGCTTTTAAGAAAAACATCTTTTATCTGAAATGGCCATAAGCCAATGCCTGGTAGGATTGGAGTGTTTTCTAAACTCTGAGGTCTTTATGGCACCAGGGTGACGATTTTAAGATTTAGAGTTGTGGAAGGGGCTCTAGGAGCAGCAGCTGGAAGCAGAATGTTTGGTGTTAGAAGGGGCATCTGGACCTCATCTGGTCCAAGCAGCTGGTTGCCCAGGACCGTGCCCAGATGGTTTTTGAGTTTCTCCAAGGATGGGACTCCACCACCTCGCTGGACAACCTCTGCCAGCGGAAAAGTGTTCGGAGGGACCCTCTTGTGTTCCCGTTTGTGCCCGCGGCCTCTGGTGCTGTCCCCGGGCCCCACGGGGAAGGGCCTGGCTCCTCGTTCCTTGCTCCCTCCCGCCCGCCCCAGCTCCCAGCCCTTCCTCAGAGGAGGGGAGCTCGTCTCTTTGTCATCTTCGCTGGGCTCTCCCCAGTATAGCCACGTCTCCCTCGTACTGGGGCAGTAAGATTAAGCGAAAAAGGATTTTTTATATTCATGCTTATTTGTGACTTAAATGTGGAGAATTGCTACGTTAAAACTTATATGGGATCCACCTAATATTTAAAGCTATGTCATAGATTTTATACTAGAACAGACTTAGTAGTTAATATAGAAAGAAACTTTTGGGTTTCATTGCCAGAAATAGCATGCAGTGTGACCTTATGGTTCTGACTGCTGTTCTTTTTTGTCCATGGTATGAGCCATATTTTTAAATGGCTGGGTAGTTATTTTGCTCATTAAAAAAATCTTACTATGACACAAACATACTCAATTTGGTTTTATATATTACCATCTGTATTAACAAGTATTAGATAAATGTCTGAAGTACAAATAGGATATTAACTTTGTTCTTTAGTTCCACAGGTGACACACTTGTCATCTTACAATATATAGTCCAAATGAGTTAAAAAGTCATTTATTTGCAGCAGTAAACTGTAGCCTGTATTGTTAAACCTTCATGGGGAAAGTAGTTTTGTAGGAGAGGGGATTCCCATGGCTTACCACAGTTGGCAGTTTTTCTGTATAGTTTGCAGTTACATTTTCTATGTTTGATCAATTACTATCTAGAAAGGTACACAGGATGAAACTTCTTGTGATGCTCACAGGACCAAATCCATCTGCTTAATGCAGGCTATTCATATGTAGAATACTTGTCTCCTTGCATCTTTGTTTATGGCTGTAGAATATAATCTGAAGAAATCTCCAAATTTTGTTTGCTCTGTGGCTATTTCAATTCTTTTAACAGAGGCACTGAGGTTTCCTTTGAGGAGCTATCCTGAAATAATTAGGCATATCAGTTGACATTTTTTTTCTATGTAACTATTTTGACAAAGTGTTTTTTTCAGATTTAAAAATCAAAAGCATTAAAAACAAAAATGACAAAAAACACTTGGTTGATAACGAGGCCTGATTTTCCCTCGCAGTGTCCCAGCAAGGTGCCAGGCTGAAGCTAGGTGGCTGCTGCAGGGCTGTCTGTGCAGGAAACCTCCCAT